CGCGCATCTTGCATTTTTCATCAAGCAGCGAGTCTTGAAAATGCTTTCTTGGTATGAAGAAGCAGTGCATTTTTCTCACTTAAAATTAGTCATTTTTCTTTGTCTAATTAATGGCTTTCTCAAGGATCCTAATCGACATATAACTTAATTCTAAACTAGAAATAATTTAAGTAATGCTATCCAAATCACATCTGCGCGAAAAATCAGCAATTTTGATTTCAGTTTATCCAAATTTTGAAAACTAGAACAGTAACAATCAAAACTGAGCACATTATAAAATTTCGTCGATTATAACCGACGTTCGGTTATTTCGGTTTCGGTTATAACCGATGTTCGGTTATTTCGGTTTCGGTTTAACCGAACCGATGCACTCCTACTATAGACACGTCTGCTGCTATAGGTTAAAGGTAAGTTCAATGCTGTTTTATCATGGACTTTGACTTTACGTGAAAAAATTGCAACTGTTTACCGCCGAAGCTAAAAAGAAGACCCTGCATCGCTTTTTTTTCTGTTGGGATCCAGCTAAATGAGTAAAAGTTGGCCGATGCATCAGCAAAGGGATCTAGATATTTTTGCTAGAGAGGTTTTGCTTGGACGAAGTTTTAAGTGAGGCCGAAGAAACGAAAATGTTAAGATATTTTTCTTATCCGAAGCAGAGAAATATTAATTGTTCATTCTGGGTTTTTGTTTGGTGAAAAACGTACGTACGCTCATAATTCTTTTTCAAGGTTTTTATTTCTGATAAAAACAAAGCCAGAAATCTTTTTTTCGGCTTAATACTAATCGATCTAGGTGAATTTGCTTGCTGTTCATCTAAAAAAAGCCTTTCTTTTGCATCTTATGGTCTCTGTGCTTGATCTTCTCGCGATGTCCGCTATAAGTTTGCAGCAATAACCGCCCATGTGCTCCAGTTCGTTTTACCCTACAATGGCAGTATATCCGACTTTTTTCAGCCGAGGAATCGACTTTAAAAAAACTCTCCGAATGAAAAGTTTCCTCTCATTTAGACCTTTAAAAGAAAATAATATTGGATATAGCTTGAGTTGGGAGGGACTTATTTCCAATTTTCCTGCCTGGAAAGCATGTTCTGACAAGGGAATCTCTCTAACTATCAAATCGCTTTTAAGCCGAAAACCGCTGGGCTGTAGGTTGTCGACCATGCTGATTCCAAATATCGCTATGTCAGCTGCTGCTAGGTCTTTTGCGTTCAGTTTTCTAGAAACCCAGCTTAATAGGGCGAAAACGTTTTATACCAAAAACTGTTTTTGATCTCACTAGATTGTAGAGCGCATTGAGTTGTGTATAGAAACATTTTTTTTCCCATTCCAGACCGATCATAAAGGCTGCTAATTGTCTTGTCACGAATAGATATATTCCGGTTTGTGATGGTGGAACTAGCATTTTATGCAAGATTTACAATGTATAATGGAACAATCATACTTATAATTTAGATCTCAAGTTTCAGAAAACGTTTCTCGTGATGTCATCCTCAGAGAAGTCACGAAAAATGCAGGACATTCTCAAAGATTTGTGTGCATTCAATCCGATGACAGCCCTACCACTTGATCGACTGCCTCATGATTGTTACATGATTTCGGTGGGTGGTTTAACAAACATGGGAGACATTAAAGAATTAAAAAGAATGGTAGATGAACAGCAAATTTCATCCCAAACTGAAGTTGAAAATCAAGCTGAATATGGACTGATGAACTCCGAAAACATGGAATCCTTCTTAGAGCTTATTGAATTGGCCGGAAGTACCGAACAATTAGAAAATGAACGAAAAAGTCACTATGTTTATGAAGACAACTTCAACTCGCAGTTGAAGAATATGATTAAGTCGACAGCATCATTCCAATACCTTGTAAACGTTTGTTACCGCTATGAAAAAACTTCAACAGCCAATGTCGATAAAGTTATGGCAGCGCACAACAGGCGTGCTGTTGAGACATACTTGTATTTCGTTGAAAAAAACGTGACGAAGGACGAAGCAAAAGCGATGGCTTTCGCCCTTTCATTCTATACTGGTGCGAAAAGTGAAACATGCAGTCGTGGAGCTAGTCTTATTGCTCGAAAGGGCAATGACGTACAGATTGAAGAGAAAACAGTCAACGAACTGGAAGAAGCAGCCATCATTCTCTACTATTTAGTCAAAGCACTTTCTTACATACCTTTCTACTGGGGTTATGTCACTCGAGCTTGCCGGTTAACATTCGACGAAATACAGATGTATTATCCAGGTCGAGTGGTCACTTGGATTCAATTCAGTAGTTCCAAAAAGGGTAAACAGGGACATGATTCAAACGCTTTCAAAGAGCGGAATATTCTTTTCAAGATTTATTCTTTAACTGGTCGTCTTATTCGACGATTTTCTAATTATGACGATGAAGACGAAGTATTATTTCTTCCACATTCAACATTCATTGTATTTAATCGCAAAGTTTACTCGGCGGAGCAGAAACAAGTTATCTATATGCGACAAGTAGAATTAGGTTTTTGCAAATGGTCCGTATTATGGGTGGATGATCAAATATTCGACGAAAACTGGGAAAATAAGGAACATATGGAATATGCAGCAATTCAAGCACTTGATTTAAATGTACATTTTATTCCAAAATCTTCTACCGATAGTGCTCTGTCATTTCTTCGATCGGCATTTGGACAACGTCTGAAAAATCAGGATAAATTTCGTATTGTCACTGATATGAATCGTGAAAATGAAGTTCCCATTCACAATGCGGGTGCTCGATTAATCAAGGCAGTGCGACAAATGGGATTCAAAAATGAATGCATGGTTTTCACCAGTGATAAGAAAAAAGCAGAGCGAATTCTTAGTTCGGAACTTAGCTCCAGGGAACAGCAGGGCGTTATAGTGTCAACTTATACTGAAGACTTACGAAATTTCGTTAATTTTGATCGCCCAAGAGAGCAGAAGACGGGTAAGAAGATAAGCGTTTTTGCTAGTCATGCCTGTTAGTCAAGTCTAGTCTCGTTTCCAAATAGTCCTCCCATATGACTAGTCTAAAATCCTTCGAGGCTTTACCACCATCCTGACTCTGTCAGTCATAGATGAAACCGGTATCGGTCTAGACCGGTCAGAGTCGTCTAAATTTTTTCACTTTGCTCTGTGATTCTATTCACGCAAAATCCAGCAGCTGTTATTAAAACTAATCTCACTAATCCTATGGCAATCAGTGTAAGGATAGTTTTCTAGAATACTCTTAGTGAATCACGTTTTATCAATTGTGAAACATTGTACCACTATACTGAGCGGTACCAAGACGATTTACTAGAGTGTGTTTACTATGGGACAACTTTTCATTTTACATGTTGACCTATTATCTGTACACCAATACTTCCTCGATGAATCAGATTTTCGTGATAAACTAATTTATCATGGGTATCCTGTTTAGTGCCGATCAGACCGGTTCCATCTATCCTTTGCACTACTTTTCTTAAAATTGTGCCAGCCATTAGCAATATATATGACACTAAACACCAGCTCTCATCCCTATTGAAAACTGTTCAGACTAGTCAGGTATTGACGAACCTGCATAGTGTAAATAGATGAAACAGACTAGTCATAAGCTTTTGTGAACACATTCTGGACTAGTACATCTTTATATACACGAAATTGTTCTTCAAGACGACCAGTCCTGACGAATTGTAAGTGATATGAGACTATACTCTGTTGTTTTTTTTAATCACCTGGGCGATCACGAACACATGAACAATAGACAGGTACTGCAGATGTGATCCACTCTAGTGTTCATGGCACAGTGGGCATTTAGGCGGTGTTTTCTGAAAAAATCGTAGGTGCGAATTTTTTTGTTTTGAATAGTGGTGTATATAGTATAAACAATTCCCTATTTAATGATAAAAAGATTTTTGTTCTAGCTCCTTCCAAAGCTGAGAAAACTGAA